TGCGCAAGGTTGCCGCAGCCGATCTCCCATTCTCGATGTACAGCTCGATGATATCGATCCTCTGTTTGGTGGTGTACACAGTTTTTGTTGACGTCATTTTAATTAACAAAAAACACGTGCTAAAAAACCGCACACTTTTGTGAACAAAATAAACTTTGATTGACATCAGTATCTCTACTGGTATTCAAATAGCGCTTAATTTAAAACTCCAGTCACATATGCCCAACTCTGTATTTTACCTTTATTATACAATTAATAAAATTGGTGGCAATAATTTGTGAGCATTATATGATTGCATTTATAGCTAGAAATCTGATGTATAGCTCCGAAACCACAACAAAAAATATGCTAAAACTTCAAAAATATATTCAAAACAATGCACTTAACAGTGCATTGAATAAAATGTCAGGAAGTATTGCAAGTTTTAGTTCATTATTTATATCTAATAATTAATTCATTAAATATATTCATTGATATAAACAAATCTATTGCAGGGATTAATGTGTGAATATTTTGCCACTGATTTAATAGACATAACATTTCATAAATATTATGATTTCATAATTAGCTAAATATAAATATAATCTGATCTATGAGTGAATTTTATTGCTAATTATATCAATATTATAAAGTAAAAAGTGTGTAAATAAATCAACAAAAATAAAAATAATAGTTTTATTTTAACGTGGAAGAACTCAGCAGGGTTTAATAAATAATAATAAAATTAAATACTTGTAAAAGTGAGTGGGATATCACATATTGATTACATGCAATATATTTAAACAAATATAATATTGTAAATACCCAACAGTAGGCTATCATTAATATTACTAATTCTTTATTATACAATAGGATTGTGTAATTTTTATGCCGATATAATGCGGGGGCTGACCAGATATACGAGGTTAAAACATGGATTTGATTTATAGTTTTATAGACATAACAATTGGTTCATAAGTATAAACATTAAAATTCATTTGACACGTTTTATTGTAAAAATACAATTGTTTTCGTAAAATATTACGAAAAGTTTCCGGTCGTAGAAATGGAAGTGATTGTTATATAATATAACTTATGTTTTCTAAATAATGTTTTTACTAAAAATAAATTTATTTATGAGCACAACATTAAGCATAATGTTCTAGATTTTTATATCATCATACTTAATAATCTGTACTTCACTGTATGGGTTTTGAACAAATTTAATAATTATTCTGGGTAAAATTAATTTGACAAATATTTATATTTGAACAAATAAAATCATTTAACTATTAATTTGTAAAATTTATACAGTGATTGAAAACTAATTAATTTAATTAAATTAATAAATTTAATGCATGGGAACAAAATTTATGAAATGGTATTTTAAAGTGAACACAATATTGTTTATATTTACTAAACAATAAATGATTAATTGATTTGCAAACTAAACACAAACGAGACATTGAAAATCCCTACGAAATAACACTAATATTTGCTACGATTTCACAATAGATAAACACAATTAACAAATAATTTGTGTTATAATACAATTGTTGTCTATTGTAACTTACTGTACAATTGAACATATAACCATCATGTATTTTATTGAGATGAATAATTATATCAAGGTATTTGGCATAGAAAATATACCAATATAAATGTAAATTTAATTACCTTACTTAATTTTCTATTTTCTATATGAATATTATAAAGCAATGATAATGGCTCATGTTGGTATATTTTCTATGCCAAATACCTTGATATAAATTAGCATTGCTTTATAAATTATAATATTCATATAGAAAATAGAAAATTAAGTTATATAATTACATTTATATTATAATAAGACAACAGCATAATGTTTTATTGACATGAACTCTAACATTCAAAAAATGCAAATTTTGAAACCTTGTTTATTTTTACTTAAAATAATAATAATAAGTGTAAATCAAGTGAATGACAGATGTTTCGTGATACCCATATAAAATTTAATCACTTTCGCAATGATATTTAATTATTTGAAAACAATGATGATAAAAATGAATACATACCAGACGTTCGGGTAGGAAATTACGGCCACATAATGGACAGGGAGTTGTGGTTGGGTTGGCGGCGATGGCCGGTGTTGGGCCAGTCTTGGCCTCAATTGCTGTAATAGGCATACAATAAGTCTTATATTATACACGAGAAAAACCAATATTTTTGAAAAATTTATTTAATCGTTTCAATGCACACAATATTACGACATTTTATTACAATATATTATAAATGCATATAAATATTAATAGTAGTATGAATTGAAATCAATACCTGATTCACTCATTTTAACAAAAAAAGTATTAGTTGTGGAAAATATTATAAAATTTGAGTACAAAATTTTTTAACACTTATATCAGTAATAATTTTTCCAATATTTTTGTAATGAATTTATTTACTCGCAAAACACTATTATTATTATGAGTTTTATAAAATAAAAACATTTCAAATTAATTAAAACCGCATTGTATTCAATGAATGGGACATAAATTGTTCACATATTATACTGTAGTCAGACATTGGCTTTAAAAATGGGTTGAATTTATTATAACATAACATGAATTGTAAAAACAGTTTTTGTGGAAAAACAATAGTAGAGAGAGAATAATGCACTGAAAAGTGATATAAATATATGCGAAACTTTCTCTTACTCTCTCTCTCTCCCTTTCCCTCTCACTCACTCTCCTTATAGCTCTCTCACACTCTGACTCTCCCTCTCTTTCTCTCTCCCATTTTACCAGTGTTTTGAGGTTTTGTGTGCTATAAATGTGTTGTCATAACGACTATAAGTTTTTTTTCAGGTGTGTATTTATATTGGGTTTGGTTTCGCATAGATTCTCGCTGTATATTAACAACAATTATGTTTGTTATCAACTGTTTTATTAGGACTTTATTAGCAATTTATGCAGTGTTTTAGTACTAATGATCAGAGATTTAAAATTGAGATTTAGATATCAAAAAAATGTTTGGCCCAAAGATTTTTCAATTGTTGATCAGATAAGCCGTTAATCTTAATCCGGATTTCGATATTTCTCTTTCGCAGCAGTTTTTGAGCAAAAAATAAGTATTCAATTTCGTGGCATAAAAATGCTTGTATTTTGACTTTCATTTCCTGTCATTTATTTTTTCAGTTAATTAATAATTAATTGAAGCTTTCATTTAAAGCCTAGTCTTTCAAGCAATTAATTATTTGCAAACATTTTGTTGTATCACAGAAATGGTCAGAATATGTACTGCAGTGAAGTGTGTTTTAAGTATACAAGTAATTTTTATAAGGTTTTAATGTATTTAATTTTGCATTTATTAAGTGCTGCCGACTATAAGACAAAAATTAATGTGATATTTATTACATTTATTCTTATCTTAAATGTAAATTTATTTTTATTTTAATTAATGACTTATAAATTAGGACTTTTTATTTGTTTTTTGATTACCAAAGATACATGTATGCTTATATTATCAGCAAATACTTCAATCAGTTATTATTTTTAAAGCACTTTCACCAATAATTATCTGATAATAATTAATAATTTACATTTATGTTGTATGGGATGATAATATGATTCGTGTGGACTTAACTTGTGGTTCATTTTTACAATTTTAATGTTTATTTTCTATTTGCGATAAGAACAAAAATTTTGATTCAGGTATAAATGATGTGAAATTACTATCTTTATGACAAAATTAAAATTAGTATAATAAGTTTTAAGCTCAAGTGTTGTTAAAACATATTTAAAGTTACTAAAAGTCTAGCCATTTATATCATGATTGAAATCTATGAAGTAATTAAATATGTAAATTAGATTCAATTTGAAGGTCTGTCTCCCAGAGACAGATATAATAGTTAAACAATTTAATCGCTATGAAAGTATACAGTACAGTAAAAGACCGAGATTAGTTTTTAATTTGCATAAATGTGCAAATTGTAGACCAATTGTGGTGATAATACCAAGAAACCAATGGTAGAGTCGACGGCAACACATTATCTATCATTTAATTTCTATGACACGAGTGCCCGACATATGAACACATATATGACGTGATAAACAGAGTGTGATTTTATTATCAATTTTTATTAATTAAAAGTTGGCTGTATTTCATTCAAATAACACATTCAGACCGACCCTCGACTTTGTTACCAATGATATCATAAAATGTGATTAAATCATACTATGATTTATTTCAAGCCGTAAATGTCGGTCAGTTTTGAATGTCTCATGTAAGTAAAATACAGCATATTTTTAGTAACAAAAATTGATAATAACATTAAATTTGCTTATATATCGGGGACTCGTGTACCAGACATTATGTGATAGATAATGTGTTGCCGTCGACTCTACCATTGGTTTCTTAGTTTTATCACAAAACTTGGTCAATGTTTTGGTCATTTGTGCAACTTACAAAAACTTATCTCTTGGTCTTTTTACTATCTATTCTAAGAGAGATTGAATTGTTTAACAATTATATCTGTCTCTAGGAGACAGACCTTGAAATTGGAAAAAATCATATTTAATTATGGTATAATATTAAATGATATGATACTGTATTTTGGAAAAATAAATTTAAAAAATATGCCGCAATCAAAATTAATTTAAACAATTATTATAAAAAATAAAATTAATTGGTATCCAATACATAAGTTATTTTTTTAGTAAAAATAAAATTTACTGTCTGTTGTGATAACTCATTATCTATGGGATGGCACCAAACAAGACAGTATTGAATACCACTTGTGCCGCCAGTCATAGTCGTCACTCATTAAACTACAAATTCTGTAAACATTATTGTAATTAATTTGATTAATTACAGTATTTATATCATTTCGCAATTTGTAAATTATCAACGAGTTGTTTACAACATTTGGATAACGATAATTTTAATTATTTTATTATTTAATGAGTAATTATAAATTATGTTAATAAAATAATTATATTTATTTAATAAAATAATAGTTTCTATGAAGTAAACAATACTAAAAATTATTTAATTTTTCTGCCCATTGCTATGAAATAATTAAAATTTATAACAATCTCTTTAGTGTACAAATCGTCAGTTTTCAATATATCCTTCAGTTTCGCAATGAATTCTTGTAGGCATTGATCGGCGAGTGGTTTATCCTTCAGGACGAGCCCCTGATATAGAGACCACGACTGGTAATAGCCGACCAACTCGTGGGCGAACGTGGTTTTGGACACAACAATGTTGTCCTTATGGACAAAGTCGTAGTGATTTGGGAACCGGAAGTCGTTGTAATGTATTTCTGTGCTCACGATCTTAGGGTTCTTATAGGGGGCGAGACGGGGGTCGTAGTAACTCTCGGACATCAGTTTGATTAGTCTCTTGTCGGTGGGGTTGAGCGGGTCTATGGGGTCGGGACCGGGCAGTAGATAGCATATGAGTGCCACCACTCCGTTGTTCACTAATATACGATCGGTCTCTGAGAAGAAGGCCTGCAAATCAAACCAATGCGCGGCCGTAAAGGCGGTCACCAATTGCACAGAGTCTGTGCCGATGTTGGGCAGACTCTCGGCCGGTGAGACCTATTATATGGTAAAAATAAGGTTAATTCAATCAATGAATACAATTATGTAATGACAATTGTTGCGTTTGTTTGTCTCACATCATAGTAAACATTGTGCGAATGGTTGACCACTTGTGCCTCATTGATCTGCGCCCGACTCACGTCATAGCCGTAACAGCTGTCAAAGAATTTGGACAATTTGTTGGTTCCCTGACCACTACCGCACCCGACATCCACAGCGATGTCCCACTTGTCTGACGGTATCCTTCCCTCTAAAAAGCGGAGCACTTCAGCGATCACTTCGTCGGGAACTGTGGGCCGGAATCGGGAGTAAAGGTTGGCGTGATTTGTGCCCTCAAATATACGGACAGACATTGTATTTCACCTGAACTTAGTTTTTGAAAACTTTTACTCAAAAGTGAATTGACTTCAAAGAGTTGTGCAGTGGTTTTGCACTTATATTTATACATAAATTCAATATAAATGTATGTAATAATCATGAGCATAGACTTTTGGTGCAGTAAAAGGACATATTTAGTGCATATTTTGGCATCAATTCAAGGATTTATTAATCAATAGATTGTTAAACGAGAAAAAAGGATATTATTTTTTCAGAGACTGATTATTACATTATTTGTTTTAACGTTAAGTCATTGCACGGCAATAATGTATTGACGTATTGAATCAATTATTGTTTATTAACTAGTAGTAAATTGTGTTTACTATAGTTAATACTCATGTGATATTTATCATGATAATTTTGTTTATACAAAACCAATCTTACATTTTACTTTCTTAATATGTTTACCAAATATTGTTTTCGAGTTAAAAACAAAACAATATATATTTCTTATAGTTTATTGATTTGTTCGAAGAATAGTATAAAACCAATGGATTTATCCATAATATAGTATAGAAATTAATAATTAATTTTGAAAATACAGTTTTTAGAAATTAGTTTAATATAAAATATAAAACAATAAATTAAAGAATAAAATATTTTTCTAATTATAATTATAAATAGAAAAATTTTCTTTATATAAAACACTTTAAAATATCATAAATAAATTCGTGAAATAAAATGAATGAGAATTTGTGGGCAAAACATGTGTAGAATAGAAGTGAAAAAAAATGCAGAATAAATTGGATTTCTATTTATCGTCCATTTGTCAAGTCTTTGAAACTTTAGATATAATAAACAAAATAATGAATTGATTGTAAAATTCATCGCAAACACTGAATACACGCCTGTTGTCTATGGAGGAACCCCTCCACCCTTCCCACCCTTTGGAGCTATAAATATAATAAATAAGACAATCAATTGTTGTAATATTCATATCAAACACTAAACACATACCGACTGGCCTTTGGCTCTGTAGTTGAGCCAAACTCTTCGCCCGACCCGGAGCCGCACGACCGGGAACTTTAAGTACAATAAATAATTCAATGAATTGATTGCGATATTCATATCAAATACAAAACAAATACCTGAGTGTTGTTGTCGTGGTTGTGGTTCGGGTGATTCCCATGGTGCTGGAAATGGGTCGTGTCCACTTTTACTCACTCGAGGCGCTACATGTGATTTGACAAATACAATGAATGGATTGTAATATTCATATCAAACATTAAACATACCGGGATTAGGGGGTGCGGGTGTGGTCGGGACAGCCGGGGTTACAGGTGGTTGGCGTTCAGGCAGTGGTGATGCTATAAATGAATGCATTATTTAATATGTGATCAATTAGTTGGCAAAACATGGTTTCAAACAATGAATCAAACTATACTTACTTTGGGTCTCACTTGTGTTCATTGATGGTTGCGGACGTCCTTCAGGTATATTTCATGCAAAATGTGTTAATATTTAGTTAATTATTATACAAATTATCAAATGTTTTGTCAATTATTATGTTTTAAACACACAATAAATTAAATATAATTTAAAAAACAGTGTATTGTCTGTAAAATTGATGGCAAACACTAAACATACCGCCTGTCGCTGGTGTCGGATCTGTCTCTTTCTCTCCTCCTTTCCAGAGATATTCTGAAACATGTATTGAAGCAATCGATACAAAACAATACAAAAACAATTATCTATTATTTTATGAATTACTTATTGCCAACAAAATCAGAGAAATGACTACAATAACGCAAACGACGACTCCTAGAAGCCAGTAAAGCAGGTTTGAGTCACCGTTTTTGCCCTTCGGTCCCCCCTTCTCACCGAAACACTCCTCTAAAATCGGTTTCCAATTCTTGATTGAATTGCACTAAAAATTATATCTAAAAATTTAATTATTTTATATAAAAGTTTATAACAAATACCAAAATCTCTTTGTCCGCTAAGGATTGGGGGCAATAATAGGGACGATTGTTGTGTCTAAAGAATATGTGATATCCTGTTATCAAATTAGACTTTTCTCTATCAACCAAACCATCGATGCTCTGAACAATCGATTGATCCATGGATTCGAGAAATAGTTTATCCGTTGCTTTCATTCCCATCTTTTGCTTACATTCGTTGGTGTCGTTTACGAGTCTATTCTTTAAACTCTGCTCTTTTGGTGAATAACACCAAATCTTTGGACCACTTTTGCTGTAAATTATGACCAAATCGTTGGTTAGTTTTCCCGACGGTCTAAATATGATAGCTTTGGGATCGTATTGAGAGACTGTGTCAACTCTGCCAACCGTACAGTTGGTCACGATTTGGTGTTCGTTTGACTGTTTGTTTGAATTCAATACAAATTATAATCATTTGTTTTAATCAAATAAATGTATAAAAACCTTTTGCGTGACATTACAGTCATAACCACTTCCACTGAATCGGTTGACAATCGTCTCATTAATTGGTTTTTGAGAATTGTTTTTCATTTCCAATCTATTCTCTAAACCAAACTCCCATTGAATACCATTCTTATACATGACATACGAGTTGTGAACAGTCGAGTGAAACACTTGAATGCCTTCGTATTTGCCGTCGGTTTTCATTAAAAGACAAAAATTCTGGCATTGAATGGCATTTAAAGACACAATGAGTACAAGAATTGCAATCATTTTCACAAACAGTAGAATTGATGTAAAGATTGCGATAACTGTTGGAAAATGCAATCAAATATTGAATTTTTTATTTAACAGCGAATATATTGCGAGATTTAAACTAATTATTGATTTGATAGATATTGTTGTCACAAAACCAATGAATTATTGTTGAAAAATAACATAACATTTGCAACAAATAATGTGAAAAATCTGGCAATCATTTAAAGTTACAGTTTGTATAGCGATTGAATGGCATTCAGCGTTCACTGCATAGACGTGTAAGTAAAATGTTTGTAAATTTACAATCATTTAAAATACTAATAAACATAACATTTTTATTTAAAAAGACTAATTGAAAATATAGAGTATATCTGCAAATTAAATACTAAAACAATCATTAAATTTATCAAAATTTGAAATAATAAACAACGGATTGATTTGTCTTAAGTATTGTTCACTTCGGAGTCTTTGCAAAACTCGTAGTCTTCGGCTCTTTATATATAATAAGCAAATAATTAATTGATTGTAATATTCATAACAATAATAAACACACCTTTTGTGGGACTTTTAGTGTTTGGTTTCTGAGCACCGGTTTCTCCCTTGGATTTAATCAATGGTGTCTTCGCTGCAGTCGTCACAGGACTCACAGACTTTACATCTTTACATGTAATAAATAAAACAATTGATTGATTGTAATATTAAATGTGCTCCAAATTCTTATTACTTGGTTTCCCTCCTCTCTGTTGTCCACCTCTTTGTAGACTCACTTCAGTCATGTCTTTCCTCTGAGGAGATGGTGAACGCCGTCTATTTGATGAAGAATGTGCTGATAATCCACTCTCTTTTGATTCTTCACCCAAATTGGTTTTGTTTGGTTATAAATCAATGTATTATTAATATGTGATGTATTTATCACCAAAACAAGTATTTCTCAAACAATACACAACACATACTTATCGTATTAATGGGTCCCCCACTGGAAGATGTCACGGATTTTGGTGGACTCACTGTTGGGTCTATAAAATTTAAATATTAATTTCATTAAACATATTAATTAATTATTATAGAAATTATTAAATGTTTTATCAATTACTTTGCATTTTATAAACAACTGCATAGAGAATGCATCCGAGAAGACAACAAATAAGGAAACCTATAAAACCCAAAATCAGAACCAAATGATTAACTGTTGGGATCTTTTGTTCGCTTTCAACAAAACAATCGGGAAGAATAGGAATGAAATTTTCCACAAAATTGCACTAAAAATTAAAAAAATTTACAATCTATTCAAAAGAGTATTCAAATTCTGTGTAATACTTCAATTGTTGTGTCTAATATAGGTTGTGGGCAATAATGGGGGCGATTGTTGTGGTTATAGAAAATGTAATATCCATCAAGGAAAGTGCCCATAACCATATCAACGATGCCTTCGATATTCTTCCAATTCGATGGATAAATGGATTCCAGAAATATTGGATCCGTTACTTTCATTCCCACATTAATCTTACATTTATTGATGTCTTTTTCGAGTCTGTGGTATAAATCCGGCTGTTTTGGTGAATAACACCATATTTTCGAAACTTTTTTGTTGTAAATGAAAACCCAATCTTTGTTTACATTTCCCGTCGATCTAAATATGATAGCATTGCTATCGTATTGCGAGACACTATCGTCTTCGGCGGTATTGTTACAAATGGTAACGATTTTGTCTTTGTTTGTCGCCTTTGAATTGAATACTAATTTTAATAATTATTTTTACATATATTTCAATCATAATCACCTGAAGTGTGACATTACACTCGTAATCATAACCTCTAAATCTATTAATAACACCCGTTGTTTGCATTGCTTTGTGAGACTTGTTCTTAAATTTTAAATCATCTTTCATTCCGAAACTAAACTCCCATTGAATGTCATTCTTATACATGACATACCAGTTGTAATCAGTCGAGTAATAGATATGAATGCCTTCATATCTGCCGTTGGTTTTCATTAAATTGCAAAAATCCTGGCATTGAATGGCAGTGAAAGACACAATGAGTACAAGAATTGCAATCATTTTCATCAACAGTAGAACTGATGTAAAGATTGTGATAACTCTTGCAAAAAATATTGACCGTTTTATTAAATTATAACAATAAATATAATGTTAATTTGAATTCAATTATTTTGTCTTTACTTTATTTAACATTCATATTGTTTCACGAAATCAATGCATTAATTAATTCATTTTTATAACTATTATTGTAAAAACATTTTAACACAAATAAATAGAAAATAATGTTAGACTCAGATCTCAGACAATAAAATTAAATTATGGTTTGTTTAGCAATTGA